TTTTTCCTTTTTTATCTTGGGAAGAGGGGTGACGCCACCATTTACTAAGAGGTGGGTAAGTCATAACATTGCCGAAATGCTTAACGCCACAAAAATTCGATTGGACATGTAACAATTAACTGCTTTCTAATTGTTTTTTTATTTTTCCATTTCCAGTCCTCAATTACCGTCGTGCCGGTCTGATATCCTGCACAAGTGCAAATATTTCTCAATTCCAGACTTCCTTACCATCTACTATCTGTCATCCACTGAAGACTATATGTTCATAGCGTGATAGTCGTGATCGTAAGCTATGTTTTCTTTGAATTGGTAGAAAATACGTTTTAGGTGTCATGTGACCTTAAGTAACTTTCCTAAGCCTAACTATAAAAGGTACGCCATACGCCGACGAAAACACGTTGCCACGATCTCCACTCAGCAGACGTTGAGGACGGCAATTTTTCACAGCGTGGTAGAGGTTGGAGGGAACTGGGTCAGCCAAGTTTTCTCACTTGAGATGCGTAGAACGAGCAAGATTTTTCCAATGGGTGCTCCTCAACCCCGCCCCTCCCCCCAACAAACCCTGAACGCATAACCTATGTCGACATTTGCGCATCGTATTTGCCAAAACACTTCCACAACGGATGTACCACATTGCGGCACTTATCCCTAACTTAGCCAGATTGAGTCCAAAGATGCCCGATTATTGCTTCTCTTCTCAGCAAGCTCAGCTACAAAGGGTGTCGGAAAGAGGAGGTAAATAAAAAACGGACCGCCCCCCCCCCCCCCCCCCGTGCAATTAAACTACTAATGATGTTTAGGAAGCCCATCCCCATCAACGATTGAGAAATGACGTAGAAGCAACACGCGAGTCATCAGTGGCAGCAGGTCATTGTCGGAGGCTATAAATTTCTGGCAATAGCAATATAAATTTATCGCCTGGTTCAGCGCGTTGTTGGGACTGCGCCGACGTCCCCGGGTATCGTCGTCATTAGTTGGCGGCCGGCGATACACTGAGCGGAACTGAAAAAAAACAAATAAAAGCTTTCGCCTAGATTCACCGTTTTCATAACACGGGCTGATAGAGGGGGGGGGGGGGGGTGGATACAGCGATGCGACCCATGCCGTCCCCAGAGAAAAAAACGAGCCTCGCCGAAAAATTACAGTGCATTGTTCTGTGCCAGATCGCACGATTGGTAATTAGCTGTGTGTCGCCAGGTCAAAGGGGGTGTTCCACGCTTGTACGGGGTCTGTACTTAAATAGCCATATTGAAAATCATTCGGCGCAGTTCACCACTCTGTCTTTCTTAAGAACTAAACCTGTCTAGTTTTTTGGCTGCACGCCCGCGAAGATGTGGAGACTTTTTGGGAAGATTATTTAAATGTCACCCTGGCATTCATGATACCATAATAATACATCTAATATATAACTGCATAATTTCATTCAAATCATGTCATTCCATTAGCAGTGCGGCGATCAAGGCCACTACAAATATAATTGTCGAATCGTTGATATCTAGTGTTCGTGGGTACGATTCCCAGACATAACGGCCAACAATTGGCTCTGAACCAATGCTGTGCAAGGCGTGATGACGTAATCGAGTAATGACGTGTTGAGCAGCATATTTACTAAACAGAGATATGGCATTATGTAGAGCAGTCTTTTCAATTACAAGTATACTTTCACTCGCAAGTATATCGATAGTTATAAGTGAGCTTACTTCATCACATCTGATGCATGCTTCAATACCTTCAAATGTCAATCATTCCCTTGAAAAACTAGCGAGGTTACCTTTTCCTAAAATGAAAACTTTTCTGCTTTATATGTTCATATATGTTTGACCATACCTTATGGCGACACGAAACTTGAAAAGGCATATCCATTGTATAATTTTGAGTACAATTATATGCGATTTTACGTCCTTATGCGTAACTTCTTGCGGATGAGTGCATCAAGGGTGCTGCCCCAGATGATAAAATTAAGCTTAGATTGTCCTAAAACAGCTTGGATTTTTAACATAAAGACGTACCATGAATAGAAAGAATAGCATGACAACAATGTCTGCAAGATCAGCGAAATGATCATTGGGTTTGCATGCACATTGCTAAGTTGGAGGTGGTATCATGAGATGTGTTTCTTTATTGACCTGTGTGCATTTAAATATAACACGATATGCTAACATAAATTGTGAGCGCCCGATATTAGCCCCATTATCCCGTTTAGAGCAAATCAAGATACAGACTCATTGACACACCCAGGCCCATGAATGTTATCACCGGGGATATATTCCCAGCATCACGAGTGAGATTTTGTTTGCCTGGATTATGCACGTATTTTATAGTTTTCCGCTGAACTTACTGTTTTCTGTCAGACTCTACGCCCGCGGGTTTCAGTTCAACTCTTTAACCCCGATTCTCTCCGTCCCACCCGTTAACAGAGACGTGGTTATGCCCGTGCCTATAGCCACACAAGACGGTATAAAAGCGTTATTTATGGTCACAGTCATAATCCACCATCTAGTAAAAGGTTATCTTTAGTTTGGCATCAACATACACATAAGGCAAAGTTCGGCCATGACGTTATGAGGTTTCCGGCTTCCACTGCAAGCTCTCAACTTTGCAACCACGGAGACATCAGTTGCGACGAAAAACGCAGCAACATAAATGCTCATTGGGCACCTGTGTAGGTGCCACCTCCCCGTGCTGCCACTCACGCATCAGACAATGGGTCAAGGTGAATAGGGTTGAGACACAACCGCAAGCATGAACGTTCACGCCCATTCCCAGCTGCCCTCATATTACTACGCCATATAATCACAGTCATTGTGGTAAAACCTGATGAAGTTTGTGACGCAGAAGTTTTCCGGCATCAGCAGATGTGGGTGACGAAATGGAGATGCCGAAATTTTGTAATTGCATTTGTTCGCTCGAAAACCATCCACGAGGTGGCTTTTCAGGTCTTCGGCTGGTAACAGCGTTTGCTGGCTTCAATTCGTTACATCACTCACTCACCCATTACAAGACTTCCGAAAAGTGTGATGAAATACAACTCTACGAAAGACGCAATAAAATACAATATTACGAACCAGACTATGAAATATAATGTAATAAAATGCAATGCGGTAAAATACGGTACGATGTAATGCGATGCAATGAAATACAATGCTATGAAATCCGTACGAAGTCGAACGGTGAATTCAATGAATGCTCCCAATCAACAATATGTGCCAAACCCAGCAAAGCCCACCAAAATGAACGAAAATAACTTGTAAGCATATAGGATCCGCACTGACTCGCAAAGTTCACACACGTACACACATATGACGTACAATCACACAGGTAACTAGCATGGGCTTAAAACTAAGGCACATGGCCCAACAGTTGCGTTTAAAGAATACGAGTTTTAAATCCCTGAAAAGTCAGAGGTGAGAGCATAGTGTGTTTGGGGCAGGCGGGTTCGAAGTTGCTGCGACACAATAAGGAAAGGTTGGCGTGGTGGCTTCCATTCGGCACCTGGACAGGTGGAGAGACCCTGACATGGAGGAACGCGTCTCCGGTAGCGAAACAGAGGAGCGCGGCTCAAAACGAGACTGAACAACTGGAGGTGATTCCTTACATCTTAGGGCTGTGAATACTTTCATCACTCCCCTCTCTTTCACCAAGTCTTCGATTCAGGGCAAGCCTAGATATTCTAGTGTCTGTGTTACGTCCTGGCTGCGTTGCATGGCTGAGACAAACATTGCGGTAACTTTTGCAGCTTTTGGATCCTCTTCACCTGGGACTTGATCGTCCCACACCATACGCGTAGACAGAAGGTATTTGTGGAAAAAAACCAAGGCTCCGGTGATAATTAGGAGAACATAAGGTGTAAAACAATGCATAAGGCGACACAGGTAGATCGGAAATCCGTTGCATTTTCGCACGACTCTGACAACATGCTTTTCCCACGGAAGAGTAGAGTCTCCGGTCACACTAATAACCTTAATGTGCCGTGATGGTGGGAAAGTCTCTCCATCTATCGTTAAAGTTAAAATCACTGTTTGTCTTTACGTTATATTTTGAACCTATCAGAGCAAAGTCGGTTTTGCCTTTGTTCATTTTCAGTGAATTTTTGCCGAATCAAAGCCCGAAGTTTGCAAACTGATATTTCCAGACCATGTGTTAGTGCTTTGAGACTCTGCTTGTTTGTCCCAGTGCTGAGTATCATCTGCAGATAAGATGAGCCGTCCAAGTGGTAGGTGACCGGGCAGATAGTCTGAAAGTAAGGTGAATAATAGAGGACCGATTATGAACCCCTGGGGCACTGTGTGGCTTACCGGTAGGGTCGTCATTCCTCCATGCACCACCTGTCTCCGACCAACCAAATGACTGTTGAACCAATCAAGGTTCCATGACGTACCACTGACGTTTTTCATAAGTAAACCATGATCAACGCTGTCGAAAGCTTTGGACAGATCGACAGCAGTTAGCGAAGATATCTTTCCGTTGTCAACGTTTCTTACCAGCTCTCCAACAGCGTCGGGTAGAGCGTTCTCAGTACAGTGACCTTGCCGGTACGCATATTGAGCGGGGCTGAGAGTACCATCTCTGTGGAGATGCGTGCTCAGCTGGCTGCAAGCAACTTCTTCAATAATTTGGAAAGCACACCTAAGAGAAATATGGGTCTTTTGTTATCTGGTGCAGCGGTATCACCTAGATGTGGGTTGGGTACCATGCACGCAATATTCCACTCGTGGGGAAACACCCGAGTTGTGAGAGAGCAGTGATGGTCTGCAGGAGATGCGGACCGATCGCAGGGAAGCATCGGTGCATTGCTATAACCGGTACGCTGCCTACACCTGCCTACGCTGCCTGCCTACACCTACTGCTCTCGAGCTGCTCATCCGTCGAATCGACGAAGGCAGTTCAGGGAGAGAAGCGGGCTTATCACTGAAGGAGGTTGTGCAGACACTTGGTGGTCTTGGTGACTGTCCGGCGCTCCCTCTCAGAGTAGTGGCAATCCGAGGCCAGACCATCGCGAAATGGTGGCGGAACTCGTCGGCCGGGTCAGGGTTTCCCTCTAACGGATCTTCTTGGTGGACTGATGACGTCATGGAGAATCGTTTGAAAGAAACCATAACTTGTGCCGGCCAACACAGGGGTGACACTACAGAGGTAATCACGTCTACAGATATGGTGGCGTACCTGACCGTGCTTCCAAGCCGTGCGAAGTCCGTGTGAGCATCTAGGAGGCGCAGGGCCAGCCAGGCTTCCCTTACTGTGTCCCGCTCGACCATCACAGCCCGAAGCTGTAGGATATCATACAGCCAGTGGCAACTGGGGCGCTGCACGCCAACAGCCTCTGCGGGGCAGTGACAGTCCATAGCGTGGTTTCATATGTTCATAAATGTTTTTACCCTCATGCTCACATCATTGGTGTCATGAATTTTCACTTAATCAGTGGCGAGCAAGTCCAGACAGATGGCGCCCCAGTCAGTCCGGTGCCAGCTCCGAGTCTCACGTTCCTAGGCTGGCTGTCTCACCCTTGCCAGCCCAGT